TAAGTCTTGAATTCCAATTGTGTTAGCCCAATTTTGCAAATCCTCTTCAATCCCTCTAAATTCAAACGAAATTCTTGTTGAACTCAAATTTTCTTCCAACTCTCTCTCTCTCTCTCTCTCTCTCTCTCTCTCTCTCTCTCTTTCTCTCTCTCGTTTTTGGTCTAGAAGATGGATGAAGAATGATGCCAAACATGCAAGTAATGGAAATTAAATAATAGTTTTTTAGGGAGCCCACTCAAGGGCAATTATGTAATAACTCAAGCTAATGTAATTTAACATTATTTATTTTAATTTAATCATCCCAAATTGAATTTTAATTAAACCTACCATAAAATCATATAAATCCTAACTAGCATATAATACTAATCAATTTCTGAATCGGTCGCCGATAAGGCTTTCAATTCGCAATTTAAACTAAAAAACCTGAACAGATCGTTTCAGTGACAAACATATAGAAATGCATTTTAAACAACACACTCATGTAATCACTTTAGGATTTCCTCTTAATCAATTTCTTATCATGCTTAAACAAGAATTAACACTAATCAGAGGTGAGGGTTGTCACAAAAACCCTTGGCAACTAACCTTGCCATATATCTGGCTACAGAACCATCTGAATTTTTCTTGATACTATAAACCCATTTGCAGCCTATTGCTTGTTTTCCAGGTGGAAGATCAACTAAAGACCAAGTGCCTTGTTTTTGTAATGCTTGAAATTCTTCAAGCATAGCGGTCTGCCAAACAGTGGAAGAAGCTGCTTGTTGATAAGTTTGTGGTTCAGACTGAGGAGAAGAAGAAGAAAGACAAGAAGTGAGAAAAGAATGAGGAAAAGTTGATTTGGATCTAGTAATCATGGGATGAGTACTGCAAAAATACAGGGACGATCAATAGAAATTTTGGAAATAGTAATCTGATCAGATGGAACTGTGGATAGAAGAGGAACATAAATGAAAGAGACTGGTTGAGCTTCTGAGTGAGTTTCAGGAGCAAAAGAAGAAGCTGCCTGGGCTGAGGGAAGGTCAGCAGTAGGAGAGAAAATTGATAGCTGAGCTGCTGACTGAGGGACATCAGCTGGTGAAGCTTGAGAAAAATGTGTATGCTGAGGTGCTGCAGGGACAGTCTGAGTTGCTACAGGGGCAGATAGGAAAGGTGAAGCTGAAGAAGAAACATGTGTTTGAAAGGAACAATTGGATTGGTCTGAGGGAGACTAAAAGAAATTCAACAATTGTGGTACTGAAGATGATGCAAAAACAGAAGAATGAGAAGACTGAAAAGGAAAAAAGGATTCATCAAAGACCACATGTCTAGAGATATAGACTCTTCCAGTGACAGAATCAAGGCACCTATAACCTTTAATAGAAGGTTGATAACCAAGAAATACACAAGAAACAGATTTGGTTTGAAGTTTATGAGAGGTATAAGGTTTAAGCCATGGATAGCATCTACAACCAAAGGATCTTAAGAAAGTGTAATCAGGTTTTTGTTTGAACAAGACTTCATAAGGAGTGAGATTTTGAAGTTTGAGTGTGAGATGTCTGTTAACAAGAAAGACAGCAGTGGAAAGTGCATCAAACTAGTAAGCCAAAGGAAGAGAAGATTGATGCATAAGAGTCATAGTAGTCTTTATGAGATGCCTGTGTTTTCTTTTAGCAACACCATTTTGAGATGGTGTATGAGGACAAGTAAGTTGGTGCTCAATCCCTTTTTGTTTTAGGAAAAGTTGAAATGGCTTACTCAAATACTCTTCCCTAGTGTCACTCCTTAAAACTTGAAGGTGAGTATGAAACTGAGTTTCAACAAAACTTTTCAATTCAAGAAATTTGTTAAACACCTCACTTTTGTAATGAAGACGAAAAATCCAAGTAAATTTGCTAAAATCATCAATGAACAACACATAGTATTTAAAACAAGAAATAGAAACAGAAAATGGGCCCCAAACATCTGTGTGGATAAGGGCCAAAGGTTTATTAACAGTGGAATTGGACAAAGTAAAAGGCAACCTATGACTTTTACAAACACAACAATGTTCGCACAAACTGATGTTCTTGTTAGACAAAGATGAAGACTTAGAACCTAAATGGTGATGAGCCATGATGTGATGAAGCTTCTTGGAAGATGGATGACCAAGTTGAGAATGCCAATTAGGTGAAGAGGATGCAGCTGAAGTAGTAGAACATGAAAGACAGATTGATGAAGGAATAGAGGAACCAGCAGAGGATGAAGAGATGAGTGGATAAAGGCCATTGGAGTAGCAACCTTTATACAGAATATTCTGAGTATTCTTGTCCTGAACAAGAAAGAAATCTTTATCAAAAGTAATAGTACAATCATTATCCTTGGTTAATAGATGTACTGAGAGTAAATTTGAAGAAAGAGTAGGAACATGCAGCAGTTTGCTAAGATGAAAAGGAAAAGAAGGTGTAGGAAGGAGTCCTTTACCGGTATGAGCAATGGGAAGAGTAGAACCATCACCAATAGCCACTTGATCATGACCTTGATACGGTTGATAAAGAGAGAGATTACATAAATCATTTGTCATGTGGTTAGTGGCTCCAGAGTCAAGAAACCAGTTCGTTTCAGATGAAGAGGGTGAAGAGATTGAGGGTACATAAGCAGAGGCTACATAAGCTTGGCTTTGACCTGGAGAGGAATTGAAGGATGAAGAGGAAGCCTGAGAGCTCTGAAAAGCAGCATCCAACCTGTGCCAACAGTCTAGAGCAGTGTGGTTTGCCTTTTCACAGATTTGGCAGATGAAAGAAGCATTGATTGTGTTGTTTGCAGAGCTAGAGCTAGGTCCTGTGTTGTGTGCAGAGCTATATCTGCTTTTCTGAAATTGATTTGATCCTCCTCTCTGATAGTGACTAGATACCAGACCTCGAAACCTACCTCCATCCCTTTCTCTGAAAGTGCCTCTGCCCCTATAATAGCCTTTCTGACTACCTTTATTAGAATAATGTCCTCGAGGAGCAATATAGGCAGCAGATCCTGGTATTTCTGAAGCTTGTTGATGCTTAAGAGAAGACTCTATATGAGTAGATTCTGAACACAGAAGAGAGCAGAGTTGATCCACAGCAATAGGATCTGATCTAGCTCTTATAGTAGTTTTGAAAGCATTATATTCCTCAGGTAATCCATTCAGAATTAAAAGGACTAAATCCTCATCATCAATAGATGATGAAGCCAAAGCAAGCAGATCTGCAAGGACTTTGAATTTGTTCAGATATTCTTCCATAGTTGATCCTTTCTTAACAATGTGACTTAATTTGTTCTTCAGTTGATGGATGTGAGATCGAGAAAGAGAAGTAAACCTTTTGGCAAGAGTATGCCAAACATCATGACTAGTTTGACAGTGAATCACAGATGTGAAGAGTGAAGGTGACAGAGTTGCTGTTATGTAGCTCAAGAGATGTGCATCAATTGTGTTCCACAGAGTATGCTTTGGATTCAGAATTTCGAGATTTTTTGAATCTGAGATAACTGGTGAAGGACATACCTTAGATTCATCCACATAGCCAAGAAGCTTGGTTGCTTATAAGATGTTGTAAAATTGATTCTTCCAAACTATGTAATTGGATGAATCAAGCTTGATAGTAACAAATGCATTAAGATATGAGATCAACAATGTAAGGTTTGAAGGAATTGCAGAAGATGACTCTGGTACACCTTCAGGTACATCTATGGTGATGGAAGAAGCCATTGATGAGCTTCTTGAAGAGCAGTGCTCGTAGGAGCCTAGGGCTCCGATACCATAAAGAGAAATTGAGTTCTTGATATTATTCTTATTAACAAATCAATTGCAGAGAAGATATATTTATATACAACAGTAGGCAATGGGTAACCTGACCATAACTGCCTGACCAACACTTAACTACTTGTGGTTAATTCCTAACAAACTAACTACCTCTACCTTATTTACACATGTGCTAGAATGCACTGGTATAAGCTACTGAAGCATGTGGAGCTTGCTGAACGACTGAAGATTTTTTGGCCGAAGCCTTGGCTTGAGTGGACTGAGTGGCTGGTGGCTTATCAGGTTGCTTATCAGTTCTATCCGAGCATGTATTATATAATAAGATTATATACGTCATCTCAAGCTTTGCCCGACCCGACATCAAGTCTAATCTAGTCATTTCCAGTCTAGTCTCTAAAAAAATTTCAAATCCTAAGCATGCACACTTAACTCAATAGATATGAGTTATTAAATTATTATTTTTTTGGATATTAAATTGTTTATATTTTTTTTACTTATTATTTGAATTTAGAATGTTAACCAAATTCAATGATAAAATAATTATAATTTTAACAAAATGCTTTAATTTAGACCCTAAAAAGAAGTATATATATGCTGATAAAAAAAAGAAGTCTATATATAATTTTTGTATATTTTATTTACTATATTTTGTAAATGAGCGGGCTATCGCGATGATGCTACCCGTACCTTGTACTAACTTTTTATATCAATTAAATTATTTCTTTGCATAATCAAAAATAATTAAATTATACTAATTGTGCAATATAACTGTGGAATAATTTTATAGTGCAAAAACTAAACAAATAAAAATAAATTAATAAATAGAAAAATTGCCAACACTGAATATTATATTTTTAGATGATAATTTAATTACAAAAAAGATAAACAAGTTAGCTAAAATAATTAGAATTCGAAATACATGTTTTCTTAAATTGTGTAATCTCACAATCGTACGATACCACATTGGTTGAATTGTAAGAACTCCTACATCATGACAACGTTTTCCTTTGAAGATTAGAACACTAGTCTAATTTTGGTACAACTTCTGGGAAACAATAATTAATGCAGAGAAAGTAGAGTAAAAATTTGCAGAATCAAAGTTGTTGAACGATATCACATCTATTAATATGTAAAAACAAACAGAGACTCTCTTCTCCTTATTTCAGAAGCCATTATTACAACTTATTATAAAAAAGTTCAACTCACAATCTGTAGGAGGAGTGAACCATGTTGTATGTATACATGGCTTCTAGTTAACATAACGAAATACGCCGAAAGTGAAGTTGATCATTAGACGAGTGGCTTCTTGTACAAAGTTCACAAAGATAACGGGAGAACGTAGGGTTCCGGTGCGAGAGAAAACATGGCAAGTGGCGACGGGGAGTTTCACATAGACAAAGCATTGCGATTGATCAAAGACACCAACATTTGCAGCGGATAGGGTCAAATTCACCACCCCTCGATTGTTTGTGATGGCCTGTGCAAGTGTTGTTCGACCTCCGTTGCACGACAAAGTCACCTTAACCCCAGCAATCCCTGGGCATGTAGTACAGTTAGTTCCCGGGACAATGCAAACCATCTGACCAACTACTGACACCTGGGCCACGATGGGGTTGTTGTGGGCTACGGATGCTGCTGTGGCAACAACAAAAAGGAGGGAAAGGATGAGCTTTGAAGGATTGAAGGCCATGCTTCTTGTTTTGTATTGTTAGAAGGGAAACGGTTGGTATTGTTTTGAAGGACGAAATGTGTGTGCCTTGAAATGCATGGGAAAGGCCCTTATTTATAGTCTCTTTTCTACACCTACAGTCCACAGATCAAAGTAATGTTCATTTCTCCAAACTAGGGATGGCAATTTGAAACCGGCCCGATGGGAACCCGACCCCCCGTCCTCAGTAAGAATGGTTTTTTCCCGAAAAATACTCCCGACAGGCTGGGGATGGTATTTAAAATTGAATCCCCGATCAAATTCGGGCCGGGGATGGGGATCACTTTCACAGCCTCGGCCCCGGCCCCGTTCCCCGCCACGTTTCTTCCTGATCTAATCTATTATATATCTATTATTATATTATATATCAAATCCCTGATCTAATCTATTATATATCTATTATATATCTCTGATCTCTCTTCTCTCTGATCTGTCTCTCTTCTCTCACTGTCTTACTCTCTTTCTTCTCTCACAGATGCTACGTAACGCAATCGGCTCCTCTCGTCGCCTCCTCCTCCTCCTCCTCCAGGCCACTGCCGTCTCTCCGTCGCTTCCTCCTTCTCCTCCTCCTCCGTCGCCTCTCGCAGCCTCCTCTCGTCGCCTCTCGCGGCCATCTTTCACCCCCAGGCCACCGTCAGATCTGAGAAGATCCGTCAGCTCGGCTCCTCCCTCCTACCAGATCTGTCTTTTTTTTTTTTTGATGATGTTACCGTTGATGAAAATGATGTTGTTGATGATCAATGATGTTGGTGTTGATAATCAATGATGTTGTTGATGATTATAAGCTAAACAGAGACGGAGATTTTCCGGGGTCGAGAAAACCCGATCCCCGTTGGGGCGGGGCCGGGGAGGGTGAGGGGTTCCCCATCGGGGATCAGGGTCGGGGACGGGAAAGTTTGTAGTTTCGGGGATCGGGGACAGGGAGGGTGATCCCCGGCCCCGTCCCTCCCCATTGCCATTCCTACTCCAAACCCAAAGGTATAGCTTTAACTCTATGTTAGGTTTGTTTTACTATTTATTTATTTATTTATTTCTTTGTTAAATATATGTGAAATGTTTGATTGAATTCAAATTTTAAAATTAAAACATTTTATGAATCTAAAAAGACTAATAATTGAGAGAGTTGAAAAAAAAATTAATTTAAAAATTGAATTCATTATTGCCTATATAACTGGCAAGAAAAAAATAAATAAATAAAAAGTGAAACTAAATATAATGCATAATCGCTATTGGAATATTTTGAGAAAACTAAAAAAAATGTGACATAAATACTAACTCTAGACTTGTCTTTATAATAGTATACAATTTTTTTTATTTTTGTTTTTATTTTATTTTATTATTATTATTATTATTTTTTTTTTTGTAGAATATTAGTTTGTTAGTAAAGTTTGCTTGTGTTCTGTTACAGTTTGAACCATTGACATTTGTTTTACCACACTCTAAGGTGTGGCTATAAGACCACTGGGCCAAACCCAAAGTCTTCCTATTTATTTTTAATTATTTTTTTGTCGGAAAATTTTTTTTACTAATGTAATTAGAACGGTACATGTTAGTGTTACATCAATAAACTGCTAAAGGGAATTGCATCATGACCAAATCAAACACATTCTAATTAAGTTGTAACTGGAAATCCAACAAAATCATATGCACTACAACAATCTCTGCTACTTTTCTCGGACCGCTGGGGAGAAGGTCCCTATTGTGCCAATAATGTGCTATTGTGAGGGTTTTGGTGGGTTCATCCCTAGTGTATTTTGATGATAAGAATAATTTGTTTTTCTAGAATTGTTGAACATATCATTAATAAAAAAAAAAATCAAATTATTTGAATATCCATAGTTATATAGCCAGATCATTTTTGTTTCTAAAAAAGAATGGCAATCATGAATTTGAGCTATGGAGGTGGGATTATTCGGGACTATTTGGGTCAATGAGTAGTAAGGTTCAAGTGAAATATAAGATCTGTTTCAGCTATGGAGGCAGAACTCTGGGCCCTTAAAGATGGCTTGAAGCTAGCTGTGGATCTGAATTTTTTGGGAATTCATGTGGAATTGGATACAAAAGCCATGATCGGTTTGATTACTCAAGAACATTCTGTGCGACATCATTTTAGTAATCTTATATGTGATTACTTGTACCTCATGAGATATCTAAGGATCACGAAGATTGATCACATCTTAGCGAATCAAGGCAGGCATGCCATAGATGGATTGCATGCTTTTAATTTTGTTCCTTTTTGTTTACCTAAACAATTGTATGATGATACTAAGGGGGTTTCATACCCCAGAACCTTATTTTCTTAATCTATTTTAGTTCACTATTCACCTAAAAAATATATATATCTGATTAATTTTATTTTTTTTCCATGGGTGACCAACTCGATGAGTTCTATATGATGAATGTTTTGGATCATCAAAATAGGTTTCGGAACGCCTGGCTGTTGTGTTATTTGTTTGGACTCACTTCAATTATATTAAGATGATTTGAATGGTTCAACATGTATAACAAGACAAATAGACCAAACAATTTTCATGTGATTGCAGACCAAAATGTAACTTTTAATTCTGTTAAGTACAGATGTGAAATGACTATAATAGCCCTGGTCTTATGCCTATTTTGATATTTTCTATCTTTCTCCTCTCTCACATTAATTCTATTAGATTGCAATTAATCATAAATACTTAATTATTTATTGTAATTCTTAACTTTTTATGTAATTATATTTTAGATCGTAATTAATTATAATATCTTAATTATTTATTTTAAATCTTAACATTTTAATCTAATTTTAATTTAAGAGAAAATTACACCACTAGTTCATGTACTTTGGCCCTTGTATCAATTTGGTCTCTATAATTTCAATTTGTTCGAATTTGACTTAGATTGGTCTAATTTATTCCAATTGTTTGCATTTTTCATAGCAAATGCACAAATGAGTGACCTATGTCATGTTTTTGGGGGGAAAAATTATAAATTTGATCAATTTAGTGATGTAAAACATATCATTAATAAAAAAAAATCAAATTATTTGAATATCCATAGTTATATAACCAGATCATTTTTGTTTCTAAAAAAGAATGGCAATCATGAATTTGAGCTATGGAGGTGGGATAATTCGGGACTGTTTGGGCCAATGAGTAGTAGGGTTCAAGTGAAATATAAGATCAGTTTCAACTATGGAGGTAGAACTCTGGGTCCTTAATGGCATGTTCGGTTAGGGGATTTGGAGAAGAATTTGGAAGGGGAAATGGAAAGTAGGTGAAATGTGAATAAAACATGCTTAGATTTAAAGAAGATGGTGTAAAATTATCATTGTGTTGTGTTAATTTCATTTTATTTTTTCAAAAATCAGGCTCAGTCTAAAAATTTGTGTGTGTGTGATACACCTTTCATTAGTTTAAATGAAAAAAATTTACCGGTAAAACTTTGGTCCAAAATCGCATGAGAATTTTTTTGACTATATTAAAAGCATATTATATAGAAAATAAAGTGCTCCAATTTCACATAAGGAGGGGTAAAATGACTTTTGTTTATAAAAATATATATATATATATATATTTTTTTTTTCAGTAATTGCTGTTTGATCTTCAATGGTATTTATAAGTTGTTCATTAAATTATTTTTATTTCTTTTCGGTTACTTCCTTTTAATCCAAATTTCTCAAAAATATTTTCATATACAACATTTTGGAAAAATGAATTAGCCCATGAAAGTTTGGTAGGAAGCTTTTAAGTGAATTTAAAGGTCCAGGCCATGGCCCCCTCTAGGAGATACGTTAGGTTGCAACCGATTATTTGCTTCATTAGGGAATAAATAAGAGATATTCATTACATTGACATATTACAAATGGGCTAATACTATGTATACGATTGTGTACACCATATATAAATTATCATATTTAAGAGATTTATTATTACAAATGTCATAATTCAATAAATAAATAAAAAAAAGAAACACTGCATAAGGAATAACTAAAATAATGTCATAACTAATATCATAATAAGTTAAAATTAAAACTACAAATATCATAACTAAAGGTATATATGATACAATTTTCCAAATGGGGATAACAGAAAGAGCTACCCTTGGCCCATTACCTCTCTCCAAGTTAGTGGGGGTACCATAGAATTGTTCAAATGGAATGACAGAAAGAGCCACTGTTGGTCCATTACCTCCCTCCAAGTTGGCTTTTTAATGTGCGAAATCTAGAGAACTATACGTAGGTGTGAGTATGGTTCGATTTTCAAATAACTATTTATGATTTTATAGAATTTAAAACTAAATTGAAGCATAAATTTTTTGAAATCAAACTAAATGAAACTGGAAACTCAATTTGGTTTAGAATTATGATTTTTATAGGTTGTCATTTTTTACTATATGATTACAATTTTCTCAGAGATCAATCAATATATTATAATTTTACAAACAAAACTGTTTAAATAATTGTTTGAAACTAGTTCTACTATACTTACAAGAACAAAGGGTTAACAATTTATGAATATATATGAGATACTCATAAGGTAGTTGAGTATCTACTATAAATAAGAAATGAAATATATGTATATATCAAAATAGTCTAGTTCGGTTATAAACCAAAACTATAATTACAATATCTCAAATCTTACCGTGAACTACAATTTGCTTATTTCAAGAATTAGAATCAAATTATGTATTGAGAAAATGAAATCAAACTATATGATTTGATCTAAATTGAACTAATTTATAATTTTGCTCATTTTTTTTTCTTTTTTTGTTTTTTTCCCTAAGCCATGCAACTTGATCCACCCACGCCCCTGTGTACATACTGCATAATTCAAAAAGAGATTTTAAAGCCCCCCCTATCCTATATATCTATTGCCTATTAAAGTACTTCAAGAGTGTTATTTGGAACAACAATGCTAGGTAGCTCAAATTTTCTTAGCTCAAATGGCTTGAATGTCTTAAAACGACGTTGTTTTAGGTGTAAAACGACGTCATTTTGA